GCGAGTGTTCAGAGTTAAATCACAAAAATATACCTTGTGCAATTAAATAGCAAAGAAAAGGACATAAAAATCGTTGCGATGGATTTGCAAGTTGACGAGACGGCTAAATTCTTTACTTTACCGATTGCTCTCTGCCTTCTCCCGCAAGTATACACTTATCACCTAGCGTCTCCTACGGAGCACTTGGCTGTGTTGTCCTTTATTTCATTATTTGTGATTGATATTGGCCTGTCGCATGTTATGGTTAATTATTGAAGCGTACGTTTAAAGAGGAAAGCAACATTTCCCAAGCTAGTATAATCTTTAAAAGGAGCCTTGTTTTCTGTTTCCCTTTTCAGACCGTCTTTCTATTCATTCAATAGGAAATCCCACGCTCAGTAAAGCTGACACTGCGCAAGAGCCAATTTTCAAAAACCTTTGAGAATATACAAGGGATACATTAGGAAAACACGTATTGCATAACTGACTCTCGCCAGATATTCGTGGGATGCTGCGCTTCCTTCCGTTCTGCCTTCATAAGACGCTACAACTGCGCAACCCTCAGAAATTGGTATATCAAGGGAATCTGTAAGACACATAAAATTGTAGGTTGTCAGGAAAGTCTCTGACAAAATGTTGCATTCTAACGTGATGAAGTATGTCCAATTTCCTCATATGTTTACTTCTACGTAAAAATACATCTCTGGCCTCACAGCTCATGGAAGAATTATGCATAAAAACGAGGAAAAACAAGGGAAATAAGTAGAACGTATCTAGAAAACGTTTATGGCATCATTGCTATTTTCCCATTGATTCATTGATAGAAAGATTCGCTCGTTTCTCACAAGCCTATAAATCGTCAAAATACTACCGCTTTTTATAAAGCGTGTGAGTTAAATCCACTATCACTTTTGTTGTGCTGGTTTTCGATTATCAAACCTAGAGGGAAAGACAGGCACTATTCCCAATTACTGAACGTGCGAATAACCAGCTTCTTAGTGAAGGTGACCGACATTCTCTAACCCTCCCTCTCTCCAATGGGTTTGCCCTGGTTAGTATTGAAGTAACTCTTACAAAATTCTGCACGTCGCATACGCAACTGACGGTGAAATCAGTAAACGTAACCGCACAAAGTTTTTCCTTATGAAGAA